TACTTAACAAGACAAGATTTCTGTCTAGGCCTTTGTAACCAACAATGTTGTCGCCCTGGCCCGGGACTGAAGTTATCAAGCTGACCTGGGAGTGAAGTTACTAAGCTTCCTGCAAGGCCCGTCTTCAAAAGACCCTGTCTGGTAATCAAGACTGAAGAAGAAAATGCACCAGACAAATACACTCCTTCGTTCTAAAAACTGTGTTTGGCTTCACTTGTTCAAACAAGACAGACATCATGTTTTATGATCATTGTTCCTGTGCTTTGAATTCCCTGTTTCATAGAATAAATCTTTTATTTCCCCCTCACCCCTCCTACTCCTGAAAGACATCCCTCAATAAATATGTATGTTTGATAGCCATTAGCACTGCAGTCTGGAGCTGACTCTGGCTGTAGCCGGCTGAGAACATGCTAAGAGGCATTGAGGTCTTAGTTTAATTTTGTTCCTGATCACCCATGTCACCTTCCTGTGTACAAGTCTCAACTAACCCACCCCCACCGAGGCTGGACCCTGGCAACAACCTATAGAGGTTTTCCACAAAACTGCCTTTTAGGGTTAAAGAGCACCTAGCTCTTTATACTACTTTCTCAAAATATCTGAACCCTTTCCTTCTGTTTCTTCAAGAACAAGAAATAAAAACGACAGTCTTCAGTAATATTTCTTTAAAGGTCCTTTTCCCTCTCTTCTTGATTTTCCCTCTTTGCCTTACCCTACTCTTATTCCCCTCAATTCTCCTTCTTAATTCCTCATAGACTCCCTACTTTCCAGTATAAATGAGACTTTGTTGTTGTCTGGTTTGTATGTTTCTATGTGAAGATTTAGAAAGTAACCAATGTTGGGGCCAGCTGGTGGCATGGTGATTAAGGTGACTAGATTCCACATGGCCAACTGTATGGTTTGAATCCTGGACCCAGTAACTTGAAAAACATACCAGGCATATGTGTGTGCATGTCCAAAATCCTGAGAAGAGAATGGAGAAGGGACTACAGCATGGTCATCCCCCTTGGGGGTTGCTTTCTTACTTTCCCTCGCTCTTTCTCTGTCTCTCTCTGGTGAGAACAGGTGCTTATAGCAAATTGAAAAAAAAAAGTATAGTCAATCTTAATTGTTCACATGATAAGATGTACATAGTAGTAGGCTGCCTTTTTTTGTATCTAGATATATATATATATATAGATAGATATATCTCTATATATTTATCTCTCTCTCTCTCTATATATATATATATATATTTTTTTTTTTTTTTTTTTTTTTCCTTGAGAGCTTTTTGTTATAGGGCACATAATCTCAACGGAGATAAAGGGAGAGACAGAGAGACAGAAAGTGAGAAATCACCACTCAGGGATCGCCATGCAGCAATCTATCTCTTCCACTTTCCTCTCAGTATTTTGGCATGCATGCACATGCACCTGGTGTGAGCTTTAAGCCACCATGTCTGGGACTAGAACCTTAGTTAACTACGTGGGAATCCAGTGACCTAATCATTATGCCATCTCTTGGTGCCTTTAGCTACTTAATTATTAATTATTTATCATTTTGCCAGAGGACGTATAAACTCTCCAGAGACACACAGAGAGTAAGAAGAGAGCACTCCCCATCAGGGAGTAGTTATGCTGTAATCCCTTCTCTTCCATTTCTCCATTCTGTTGGAACTTTGGCCATCCACGTACACATGCCCAGTATGTTTCTGAAGCCACTGGAGCCTGGTTTCAAATGTATATGGTTGGTTATGTAAAATCTGGCTCCCTCAACTACTAGGTCACAGGCTAGCTCTTCATTCTTACCTAATAGTCTCAGTGACATGAGCTGTGGTGAACCAAAACTATCTTTAGCAGACATTATTACTACCCTATCAGTACCCTCTATTCTCATGCTATTCTATGGCTTACTAGCCTAACTTCCAATGGCAGTATTTGTATCTCTGGCTTTCTCTAACCACTGAGGTAACTCTGGTCATCTGTTCAGTATGTCAGGTGAGACAGGGACTTGATAGCACCTGACAGTAGCTTACAATCATTGACTCATTGGAGTTGTGTTTAAACAATTCAGTTATTTTGTCCCTTTGGTGGGATATGTCAATCTGGGATAGGGGGTTGTCAGAAAAGTCATGATGCATTTTTGCATAGAAAAAAATAGAAAAAAATACATCATGAGTTTTTGAATGACCCAATATATATTCTGTATTATTTCCCAGAGATGCCCAGAGGATTAAGATCTAGTCACCCCTAATAGTTAAGTGTTGAAGACAACATTTTTTTTTCTTCATGTCTTCTCTTCCTTGTTTTATTTTTCTACTCTCTTACTCATATTTTCTGCAGTTACCCTTGAAATAAACTACTTATATTTGAATATCTGTCTCAGGATCCATTTTTGGGAGAATCCAAACTAAGATACCATCTTTAGGTGATTATTAATTCAGACAAGTAGCATATCAGATAGTAACCTCCCAAGTGATTGTCTTGGCATTTAGAGGCCATGGGTCCAAGGAAAGTGCCATGTCTTAATGCTGTTTGTGAATGTATGCTCTATGCGAAGGTCATGGCTAACCTTCAGCCCAGCAGTCAGCATCATTCACAGCTGAAGTAATACCTATGTGCTCATATCAGGCTGCCTGACAATGGTGTAATAATCATTAGATACCACTGTTTAGATTCTGAGTATGAGGATGGCATTTGCCTTTAGACTGCTAAGTAGAAGATGTAATGATTATAGGCTGATACTTTCTCAGGAGGAGAGTCTAGTTGTTGAGCTTTCCAGTTACATATGGTTCAGTGATTTTCTTCCACATTTAGTCTGACTGCTGTCACATGTGTTGAAATATCTCATGCTGATCAGCTTGAAGGAAGCTGGGACTGCTGAGCAAAGTCTGTGCACATAAAAACTAGAAAGAACTGTTGTATTATAGGAAGCAACCCCAAATTGACAGAAGATTAGACTAGGAAGCCTGAACAGGGGTTTTAATCCCTACTCACAAAATTTGTCTGTAGACATACTGATCACATTCCTACTGTTTTAACTGTATTTTTTTTCAACTTCAGCTTGCTATTCACAATTCTCTAATATTTTATGTGACCCTGGTGTTTGTGTGATGACTTATAAAGTGACCATAATCCAGTGTGACATCCTCTGAGAGTCAAACTTTGAAGGATGTCACTATTTCACACTGGGACATTTCGTAGGATATCCTGCTACTCTTGGTGGGGTTCAAACATCAGAAAGGATGAGAGATCTAAGACTTGGTGTAATCATCTGCATGTAATGAAATCAGGCCAAAGAAGACAGTTTAAAAAAAAAAAAGTGAAATGGTGCTAGGAAAAGTAAAGGTAAATCTCAGTGTTTGTCTAAGTGTAATCACTTTTTGTCTATGCCTTTTAAAATATATAAAAAAAAAAAATGGCTAGAAGCAATTTCCCCCTCCTAGCATTTAGGATTTAGAGGGAAGGAAAGAGAGAAAGAGGAATTGTGAAGAAGAGAGATAGCTAAAAGAAACAACTTGGTGAAGTCAGACAGTACAGCGGTGTTAATACAAGATACTCTGGGAGGGTGGCACATATTGGGGAGGTTCACGATTCAGGTCTGGAGACCTTGAAGCATACCACACATATCTACGATCAGGAACTGGCTTTCAGTGTCAAGACTGTTGGGCCTCTCTCTTTCACACTCAGAGGAAAGAAATTAATAAAAGAGAAACAGCATGACATTGTGGCAAGAATCAGAAAACCAGGATCCTAGCATAACCATGTGAAAATTATTTGTAATGTGAAATTGCATTTATTACAAAATTAGGTATACTTTTCATACTCTACCAGACCAAGAGCATCTTAAGGCTAAGAACTGGGTCTGAATCAATGATTTCTCCAGTGCTGACATGACATGTGGCATAGAATATGTTGAAAAAATGGTTTGGGATTTATAAAGGAAGTAGAGCTAGCCGTGGTGGTTAAAGTGGCTAGATCCCACATAACGAACTATATGGTTAGAATCCAGGAACTGTTGCCTGAAAAACATTTGGGGGCAAGTATGCATGAGTGTTCAAAATCTTGGAAAGAATGGAAAAGGGATTGCAATGTGGCTGCCTTCTTTTTCCCTGAAAGCTTTCTCACTTTCCCTCTCTCTTGTGAGCACATGCACCCTACAGCAAGTTAAACAATCAAAATGAAAAGGGAGCAAGCACAAGGGACTCGTCGTGGTTAGAGATGAATTTAACTAATCTGCACTAGAGAAAGGGAGACTACAGGTGAAAAGTCACTCTAAGTTTCGTTAGATTTTTGACTATTTACTATGTGCCAGGCACTTTCCTAGCTGCTGAAAACAATATAGTGAACAAAACAAAAGCCCACATCTGAATAGACCTTGCTTTCTAGAGGACAAGTAGAAGACAAAAGAGATAAATAGGTAAAATTTACACAATTCTGGGTAATGATAAGCGCTAAGGAGAAAAACGGCCCAGAAAAGAGAGTAAAGACGATGGGGGATGTGGTGCAGTTTTGTTGGGATGTCAGAAATTCAGGGAATACCAATTATAGTGGTAAATTGGATCAAATCTGGGACTGCATGTCAGTGTTCTGAGAGACGCAAACAAAACAGGGTTAGGGAAGAAGAGAGATCCAGAGTGGGAAAAGGAAACTAAAGGAAACCCAGTCAAGAGGGGAATTGTGAGGCGGTAAGCGCGTTCTGAGACGAAAGAAGGAAGAAAATGTGCACAACCTTTCACTTCACGTGTGAATAAGTATGTTCCTATTTCCATTTGGAAAAGGCGAAAGACTACAATTTGTGACAAAAACCCCTTTCCAAGGGAATTCTCACCTCAGCTTCCCTCCTGTGAGACAGTCTTTCCCGCCCTGAATCAGAGTTACTGGCACTGTGGCTTGCGATTGGTCCGGTGTACGTGCATCCTCAGCGATTATTGGCTTCTGTGACTATCCCTCAAACGAGTAGCCATCTTGAGTCCCGCCCCTACCGCGAAGCCATCTGGGAATGGTAGTCCTGGCTCCGCTACGTCCCGCGGCGGGACTCTTACCCTCAGTTCCTGGGTCCCTCAGGCAGGTACCTCAGTGGGCACACTCCCAGGCGGCGCTCCTGCCCCGCGCTCCCTCCCTCTGCTTTTCATTCCCAGCTGCCAAGATCTTGGAAGGTAGGGGCGGGGGGCCAGTCCAAGTGGAACAGTATCTGAGGCGCGCGTCTGGGTTTTCTCGCGTACATGGTCTGTACCTCGGCGGCCCAGTGGGGTGGGAACTGGGCCAGCGCCGCTCAGGGCGCGGTAGGCTTCTGTCCAGAGAACCCTTCAGTTCCCTGAACCTTTTCAAGGGTGGGACTCAACCACCCCAATTGCCAACTATCAGCCCCAGCCTTAACCTCACTTCTCCACTGCATTTTATTAGTGGGAAAACGGAGGCAGGGACGCCCCAGTTCTCGGACCTAGTTGGCACTGACTACTTTTGGACAGCTTGTCAGCTCCACAGACAAGTTGCAGGCGTCTCTGTCTCCACTATCTGTGTAAAACACGCTGCTCTGGGTTCCCAAAGGGGCGGGGGTGGGGGTGGGGGGGGGGGAGGGGCGCAGAACGCGCGCCCTGGGCAGGAGCAAAGAGGACACAGAGAAGGCGTATTTGGGGAGAAATTTTTACAGTGGGTGTTTTAAAAAAGACAAGCATCGAATTCGTGGTGAGAGAACTCATTAGTGCGCTGTTGGACTTCCTTACACCTATTTTGTGATTTACTGTTTTTATTTTTAGCATATGTGGGGACTTTTAAGGCATACCAGTGTATGGGGAGGGGGGCGGGGAAAAGAAGGTAAATTAGTGGAATTTGAGCTGGATTTGTACCTTTTCTGTTAGGTTCTGCATCTACCTTGCTTTGTGAGCCTGGACCAACCACTCACAGCAGTTATCTGGGAAACCACAAGCTTAAACTCCCTGCCCCAGTCGTCCAAGGACGCTGCCAGAGCCGAATTCTAAATTAAGGTCAAACTTGTGAAAGTTTGCCAATTGCAAACCTAACACTAATATTGCTTAGGGTCTCTCAGAAATGTCCTGGAGACTGCAGGAAATAGCCTCGATGGTTGTTTTAGAAAAAGTCTGCTCCCGGTTGGGCCTGGGCTACCCAGGGCGCCGTTACTCGCACCTGTAGTTACGCTAGGTGTACCTGAAGGAGCCCTCTTCCGCTCCACTTCAGGGCTGTGGCCTCGGCAGCGAAGGCTTCTGGGAGTTGGAGTCCCGCCTCTTAGTACCCCGCCGCTCGGTGCTCCAGCTCCCAGCGTGCCATTTGGCAGAACGGGATGTCTCCTGGGAAATGAAGTCTCACTTTAGGCCGTTCTGCAGAGTAATCCTTTCGATGGAAACTACAACTCCCATGTGTCCCTGCGTTCTCGGTGTCAGCCTCTGCTAACACGTGGGGCGACCTGAAACTAGAGTTTAGGAGAGATTGTTTTTTCTTTTTTTTTTTCCTGGTTGATTGCATATGCTCTTCCAAGTATTTAGATGTGAAATTGTTGTACATATTAGTCCAAGTATTAGATAGGGAATGTACACGCTTTCAAACACAGCTGATTCACAATGTGTGAAACATGTTCACATGATCTCTTAAAAATACTGTATCTAAAAACTTGAGATGGTTTGTGCATGATTGCACAGCAAGTAGCAAATGCAATATATACTTGATAATAGATATAACATTTAGTGATTGTAATTAATCCTTCAAAAAAGTGTATGAGAGGGAACCATCAGTTAGCGTAATGGCTATGTCGCTGGACTCCCACGTAGTCGACCGCGGTTCGTGTCCCGGACCCGGTGGCTTAAAACTCACGCCGGGCGCGTGTGCGTGCGTGCCCAAGATCCCGAGAGGAGAATGGAGGAGAAGGGATTGCGGTGTGACCATCCCCCTCTGGGGGGTGATTTCTCGCTTTCTGTCTCTATGTCTCTCTCTGTCTGTCTAAAATCTCTCTCAAAAAAAAAAAAAAGGGTATGAGCGATAGCATCATTTTTTAAAATAATATTTTACTTAATTTTATTATTATTATTTTTAATTTGCTATAGGGCACATGTGCTTGCCAGAGAGAGAGAGAGAGAGAGAGGGAGAGAAAACAAGTCACCAAGTCCAGTATTTGAACCTCAGTTGGCCATGTGGGAGTCCACCACCTCAACCAGTACACCACCTGCTGTCCCCAATAACCATCTTTTTATATTCTTTTTACTGGTTAGAAAACTAAAGGTAGGGTAGTTAAGCAACTTGTTTAAATTAAATCACCTTACAAATACTGGGTTTGTAACCTGCTCTCCTTGACAGTCTACTTAGGAAAAGACCCTACTTTAGAGATCTGAATGGGAGCCCAACCTTTATGACTGCAAAATTTGGAATGTTTCTGGTATACTGTATTGCATCTGTAGTTAGACACCAAAGTAATGTTAGAGTTACAAAAAACTTTTAGTTCATCAAATCTAAGACAGAGATCTTGGAACAGTTCCTGACACCTAGTAAAGGTTCCACAAATGTTAGCTATATATAGCTTTATAATACCTATATTTTAGAGATGAGGAAAACTTGCCTAGGTGGTAAAGGTTACCCAAGGTCACACACTTGGTTTGTGTCAGAGATGAGACTGACTCAAGCATCTTATTTCCAAGTCCAGGATTATTTTCATTCCACCAGCAGTCACCTAGTAGGAGCACCAAATGTGTAACTGTGTAGTTAATGGTCTCCCCTAATATTTTTTTCTTTTCTTTTTTTATTTTTTTTTGCCACCTGCCAGGACCAATTGTTCTTTTCTTATTTTTGGTATGGTTCTAATTCATTAATTCAACAACAATTCAACAAAATTTTGAACTTTTATCTATGCTCATCTCTCTCTGGGTGTGGAAGTCACATACATGGAAAGTACTTAATGGATTAGGACTGTAAAATTAATCTATTTTTTTTTTCATTTGAGAAAAGAACAGAGTGAGGTACAAAGAAATCTGCAATCTTCATCTCATGCCCTTGTGTCAAAAGCTTCCTCTTTCTCCAATGAGGCAGGTTTCTGGAAGCCTCACAGTATGGTCTGTATATGACCTTTTCAGGGTCACACTTTTCTTCCTGGTGTCCTTGCTCTGCCCTCGTTCCTGTACACATTTGGTAGAATGCTTTATGAAATATTTTTTGTCCCCATCTTTATTTCTATGTACATGCAGCTTTAATCTGCCCTATTTCTATTTCAAAAATTAGTCTTGTTTTGGCTTCCCATATTCTTTTCTCTTTTGTTCCTTCAGACACTTGATAACGGTATCTGACATTGTGTTGTGTTCACAGATGTTAAAATCTAACCCTCTAATTTAATGTATCAGGATTATACATGAGTTGTTTAAATTGTACAAACTTTCATTTTAGGAGACATACTAACCCTTTCAGTTATGTATTCACAGATAATAGAGCAGGTAACTCTCACCTATTTTGTGTGAAAAATTATTTCTGCATAATTAGATAATGTAGTAACAGTTTTATAAATTATTGGTTAAATATTCCTGAAACAGTCACTATGTGAGAAATTTTCCCCATCACCCTCTGTGCCCTCTGGCATGCTCCCAAGTGACAGTTTGATCATTCAGCTTATAGCACAGTGCCTGACCACTAGCAGACACTGGGAATGTATTTGTGGAATTGCATTCGTAAGTACCCTTGAGCTCTGTTCCCATATATTTTCCTTGGATTTCGGTTTTGTCTTTTAATGTAGAAATGTTCCTTTGAAATAGAAGATGTAGGTTACTTTTCTTTCAACATGTACATTGCAGAGAAAAACCTTCGTCTTTGAGGTCATCCTCTAAGGGACTGTCTGTTCGGAAATGTCCATGTCTGTGACTTCTCTGATGAGAAAGTGATCCAAGTAGCAAAACAGAGAAGCCATAGAGAGTGATTGTCTGGAGGCTTATGATTTAAATCCCAGCCATGCCTCCTAGCCAGGTTATTTGGCACTTAGTTTCTTCTCTAAAACTGGGATAATAAGCACTTCTACTTCTTAAATGATGATAAAGGAAAAAGAGTATTGAATACTTTGAGCATGTTGTCAGGCTCTCAATAGAGTATAGTTAATAGATAAATAGTAGCTCTAACTTTTGTTATAAATGTAAACTTGATTTATTGAAAATTCATATTTGCTCCAGAGCAAACTTGAGGCAGATATCTACTTTATAAAAGAATTTGCCATTTGTTTTCTGAGAGTAGCAACGTAGACCATCACATTTAAAATACGAAGTTACCCACAACTCTTGATAACCCGTCTTGTCAGCACAGTGATACTCTCTTGTGTGGGCAGAGAGATAGTGAAGCTTTTGGCTTGTTACTGCCTGCCGACATGTCTCTGATCTATGGCTCCACCTATATATTAAATTTGGGCTGAAAAGCAGCCTGTTTCTGCCAGTAGAATTTTCTGTTCATCTCTAGAAAGAACTGGGCCTGTCCCAGGAGCCTCAGGGTCAAAGTGAAGCAGTTGTCATCTAGCTCATGAGTAATCCTGGGGCAGTGGCCACATGGACAAGACAATGCTTCTTTCTAAAACTGACAACTTCAATAGCTATGAGGTTACTGATAAGGAGGTGAGTGGCTGAAAAGGGTTGATGCAATAGACGGGGAATGAGAACTGGGAATAAAGATCCAGCAAGAATAAAGGGGAGATGGACAAAGGAAACAGTGGATGCCTTTGGCATCCTAAAGATGTTTTTATTCAGCACATTTATTTTGCTGCTAGCTCTGCAACAGGCACTGCACTGTGCACTGGTGATAGAGTGGTGAATGTGGTTACCAGGGAGATGGTGATGCTAGTGAGTGGTGGTATGTTCTAGGTGAGCAAGAGCTTAAAAGAAGGAAAGGAAGAAAGAAGGAAGAAAGAGGGCATTGGGATTTGATCAGAAGAAAGGAGGTCTATGTGCCTGGAATATGAAATCAATGGTTGGAGGAAGTAGAAAGATGAAGCTGCAGAGAAGCTTGGGTAATGGTATGTGCAGTTCAATTACTTGTATTTTAAAAGAATTGTATCTATGCTGAAGCCATTTGGGAAATCATCTAACAGTTTTAAGTGGGGAAATGGAAAAACTTTTTTTTTTTTTTTTAAGAATATAGATTTGGGGCTTTCCCTGTAGCCTAGTGGTTAAGGGAAGCCTGGTCCCAT